CGGTGGTGGTGGTGGTGGTGGAGAAAGAGAAAGAGGAGGTGGATGCCAGTCTATGGCAACGGGTGCACGTTCGGGCTCTACATGCGAATACGTAAGATACCAGAGGAGAGAAAAGGCGCTATACGTGGACAAGAGAGAAAGAGACGGTAAGTGAGAGTAAAGGGTAGAAAGAGCGAAGAAGAAAGGAGAAGAAGAAGAAGAGGAGGAGGCCTCCGTGTCGACATATATGCGATGAGAACGCGCGTCTCCTGACTCAGTGCTTGACAAGCTAGCAAGCTCTTAGGATTCATCGAGTTTTACCGGCACAACACGATACAACACGCTTCGCCAGCTGCCTGTCGCTGTCACGCGAGTTCGCTACTTCGCTTCTGTACTGTTCTTTTCCTTCACGGACCTCTTCTATTTGGATTCGTTGGTTCGTTCGTTCGTTCTCGTCGTCTCTTTAGCAACCGATTCTTTTCGATTACGACCAGAAGATCCTGCGAATCGATCCTCTACTTTCCACGATAGTAATTAGAACTTTCGAAGGGGAAACGAGGAGGGGGAAAAAATTATTCGTAAAAAGAAAATATCGGAAATCGCTCGGATAGGAGATAGAAGTGAAACAAAAGGAAAATCGGCGGCTTTAATTTATTACTGGTGACATGACGCCCAAGATACGTTTAAAAAGATGCACAGTGCATCGGTAAACGGTGTGTTGCTAGCGCGCACATGTCTAGATTAAAGTTCGCGCGTGAACCAGAGGTCACGAGGGTTCACCGGATCGTTCCGTTCCAAAAAGGATACGGAAGAAATCCGATCGTACACGGCCAGTGAATATCGGCCTCGAGTGCAATGTGGTTTTTAATATATCCTGGTGCTTATAGTGTGTAACTATGGTAAACGGTATTTTTAGTGATCGCTGTAAACAAGAGTAACGGATTGAAATATGGATCTATTCGGCACGAGGTTTCTGTCGTTTACCGTAACGTCGATAGAGGTTTCTTGATATATTATTCGTTTCGTAACTGTTTGTCGAGTTTACTTTGCAATTACAAAGTTTGGATTTACGAAAGAAAGTGGTACCAGGTTCCGGTGAAACTTGACTCGGTTCGCACTCGCAAGTACAGAGAGAAGGAAGACGGGAGAAAGAATCGGAACCGAATAGCGTGTCTAACGATCACGATCAGGATCGCGATCGCGATCGATTCCCTTCGCTTCTGCACTGTGGATGATGCATCGATCGATGAACGCGATAAAGAGCTGCGCGTTGTTTACGGAAGGAAGCTTTTGGTAAGAGTATATCTGGGATTTTACAAAATCAAAAGGATAGCATCGCCGAATAAACAACGGAAGAAGTTCTTTTCACGGAAGCGAATAGCGGAGAAGGAGGAGGAGCTGGAGCAAGAGAAAGAAGAGAAAGGGGAGGAGGAGGGGGAGG